CTTAAAAAAGGAATAAAGGGAATAGAGTTAGTTACCTGGTATAGGTTTTTATTTTTATTTTACATGGCAATTAATAAACAACAAAAGATCCACTTATTCACTTCACATTATTCACTGGCATATATATATATATATATATATATATATATATATATATATATATATATATATATATATATATATATATATATATATATATATATATATATATATATATATATATATATATATATATATATATATATATATATATATACATCTCCATTAAAACCATAGTTATATAATTTACTCAAATAATTTATTGTGCACTGTGTGAAAAACAAACCTGCTGCATAGACCTGCATGACCTACATATATTTCGATTCATAAAATTTTTTCAAAAACATTTTTAATAAAGTTAAATAATATCATATTCATTTGAATGTTTAATCATTCTTTGGTAAATTACTTTGTCTAAAAGTTTTGAAAAACAAGTTAGTAGGGAAATGGGGCGATAAATGATTAAAGATCAATGATCACAAGATTTAAACAATGGGATAACTTTGGCAACCTTAAAATCAGCAGTAATACATCCAATTTTTACTGTCAATGTAAAGAGTTACATATATGGAGTCAGAACTTCTTTAATAAACATAGCACTTATTTATCATTTATCATTAAACCGACAAGCAGTTCCATAAGGTTTACACAGAGTGAAGTCCCCATCCACAAATATTGAGGCGAATTTTACACAGGCCTTTTTCATTTTAAGTAACTGATTCCTAGTTCTACATACAAAATAAAAAATAAAAAAATCATTTGCAGATTAAGAAAACTGATCATTTTAAAGGTGCAGTAGGAGATCTTTTATAATGCATTTAAACCATGTGGCTTGAAGATCTCTCCACAGTCACTTAGCAAGCAGTGAAATAGAAGGTCTGGAAGTGAAACTAAAATAAATGTTTCCCGCTACAGTGAGAAATCAATGAATAACCCCCAGCGATCACAAAAGACAGTCCGTTGTACACGATTGGTTCCATGACATGTCAATCATGGTCGTCTGCTTGTCCCACACCCCGTGCGCGTACCCTGACACATGAACGGATCAAGCCCCAATGCTCATGCAGGACGCCATGGCTGGAAGTTAGCCATTGTTTTGAATGTCAGATCATTCTGGCTTAAACATGTATATAAATGTACTCTTTATCAGACTATTGTCGCAAAAGTTAGAACATTTCTATTAAAAGAAAAAATCCTGTTTTAAAATCTGTCTTTTTTTCCATTATTTTATGCAGGCCAGTTTTCACTTATGTCATTTTAGCCATTATGTTGCATCACATCAAAAACAACAAATTAGTAGCTTTCATAAATGTTTGAATGATTTCTGATAGGATGAGTAATGAGCTTTGCAAATCTCAGGTAAGACCCCCGTTTTTAGGTTTCTATCATGGTAGGAATAGATAAAATTATTTTTTTTTTGTCTGAAAGCTTTGTAGTAATCTTTGTTAACTTAAATGTTAGTGCCTTTAAGGTACTTCACTTTATCCAAAATAGCAGTTTTGTCCTTTTGAGCAAAGAAACTTAACCGCAATTGGTCTTATACAGTTCTTCCATAAAAAGAAAAGAAAAATGTAAGTAAAACTAAAGAAAAACATGTGCATTGATGAATTTTCTTTTTTTCTTTTTAAAGCCTGGAAGAAAGCTCATGGAAAGAAGTTTTCCTTTACAAAAGAGGGTGGAAGTCAAGAAAGAGCCCTCTGATGTCCAAGATACAGCAGAGGGTTGGCTATTTCATCACATTTTATCTAAATAAAATAACTCCCTGTTAAAAAAAAAGCTTATTTGTCTACATACACACCAAATGTTTGTCCTGCATATCCATATATATCCATATAGCAGTGGAAAGAATATTTCCATTCCATGAAGTGCAGCAATGATCACATGAAATACATTGATATGGAAGTTTACAGCATTTCAAGACAAATATATATGGGGTAAATATGCACTATTTTGGTTTGGTGTTATCAGTGTGATGCAAAGTCTGTGACTGAGATTTTTTTAAACAGTCCAGCAGTCTGGTGGTGGTGGGGAAGAAGGTATTGCAGAATCTGCTGGACCTGCAGCGGATGCTGTGAAGCCTCTTAGCAGAGGGCAGCAGGGAGAACAGTCCATGGTGGGGGTGTGAGGGGTCACTGATCATGTTACAGGCTCAGGACACTCAGCCCTGGGATGAGATGTCTTAAAGGAGGGAAGAGGAGCCCCAATGATCTTCACTGCTGTTCTAACCACTATTCTCACTTTCTTCCAGTCTGAGTCGCTGCAGCCTCCACACCAAATAGTGAGACAGCTGGTCAGAGCGCTCCCTATGGCGCTTCTGTAGAAGTTCGTGAGGATGGGTGGGGGCAGGTGGGGTCTCCTCATCCTCCGTAGGAAGTACAAGCCCTTCTGTGCCCTTTTGACCAGTGAGGTGGTGTTTACAGTCCAGGTGAGGGTGTCTGTGATGCACACCCAGGAATTTGGTGCTACTGACCACTTCTGCAGCTGAGCTGTTAATGAGTACTGGAAGGATGTTATGCCGTTCTTCCTGAAGTCAAAAATGATCTCCTTCGTATTCTCCATGTTCAGGATCAAGGCTGTTATCTCTGCTCCAGTCAACCAGCTGTTCCACCCTCTTTCTGTATTATTGCTTGTTGTCGTCTCTGATCAGGCCCACCACAGTGGTGTCGTCTGCAAACTTCACAATGAGATTGGTTGTGAACCTTGGGACGCAGTAGTGTGTTATCAGAGTGAACAGCAGGGGGCTCAGGACGCAGCCCTGACGGGAGCCTGTGCTTGGGGTGATGACATCAGAGGTGTTCTTTCCAACCCTGGCTGACTGAGGTCTGTTTGTGACGAAGCCTAGCAGCCAATTGCAAAGGTGTATATTGAAGCCCAGCTGTTCCAGTTTACCTATCAGATGCTGTGGAATGATGGTGTTGAAAGCTGAACTGAAGCCCAGGAAATGCATCCAGTTGAGTTTTTTGAGACAGGTTAAATTGATGGTATTCTAATCTGTTGAAAAGCATGACTTGATCAGACAGTGATTAGCAGCAATTGGATTGGAACCCATGCAGAGTTTCTGAGGTGGTTTTTAGATGCTTTCAAGTATGTAGATTTTAGGTACTCATACTTCCTTTTATATTTGTATGTTATGGTATGTTACACTCACCTGCCACTTTATTAGGTACACCTACCCAACCAGTTGTTAATGCAATTTTCTAATCAGCCAATCACATGGCAGAAACCCAGCGCATTCATGCATGTAAACATGGTCAAGATGATCTAGTGTAGTTCAAATCGAGCAACAGAATGAGGTGTTTTAAGTGACTTTAAATGTGTATGTTTGTCTATTTCATATAGGCTGGTTGGAGTATTTCAGAAGCTGCTCATCTGTTGGGATTTTTAAACACTGTTTAAGAAACAACCATTTCTAGAATTTAATGAGAATGATCCAAAAAAGAAGATATCCAGTGAGCTGCAGTTCTGTGGGCATAAATACCTTGTTGATGCCGAAGGTCATAGGATAATGCCCAGACTGAGTGTAACCGCTCTTTATAACCAAGGGTATGCAGAGGAGCATCTCTGAATTCCCAACATATCGAATTTTGAGGTGAATGGGCTGCAGCAGCAGAATAACACACAGTTTTTCACTTTTGTCAGCTACAAACAGGATGCAGAGGCTGCAACTGGCACACACTCACCAAAATTGGACAATATATTATTGCAAAAACGTTGCCTGGTCTGATGATTCTCGATTTCTGCTGCAACATGCGGATGGTAAGGTCAGAATTTGGCGTCAATGCATCCTGTTTTGTAAAAAACAGTTCAGACCGGTGGTGTCGTAATGGTGTGGGGGATATTTTCTTGTCAGACTTGGGGCCCCTTAGTACCAATAGACCATTGTGTCAACTCCACAGAGTACCTGAATATAGTTGCGGACCAGGTCCCTCCCTTTATAACCACAGTGTACCCTTCTTCTGAGGCTGACTTCCAGCATGATAGCCCTCCTAGTCATAAAGCGTGAATCATCTCCAAGTGGTTTCATTAATAAAACAATGAATGCACTGCACTGAAATGGCCTCCACATTCACTAGATCGCAATCATGTGGGGCACCCATGGGATGTGGTGGGATTTGCATAATCAATGTGCAGCCAACAAGTATGCAGCATCTGGGTGCAGCTGTCATGTCAATAACAACCAATCTCTTTGAGGAAAATGTCCAGTACCATGCCAAGATGGATTAAGGCAGTTTTAAGGGCAAAAGGGGCCTACCTAATAAAGTGAGTGGTGAGTTACATTACATTTTTCAACCTGGAGAAAAAAAAAAACGCAGTCAGAAAGTTTTATTGACATGAAGAAAGTCTGTGAAGCTAAGACCCTGCACAAAGTGTTAGTGTTGAATACAGTAGATGTGCGTGAACGGGTAGATCTGGGTTAGGGGGCTCTTTCGCCCCCAGGCTCTCACCCTGCTGGTGGAATGAAGGCTGAAAAATGATGGAAGCGATAGGGAGAAAAGATGAATAAAGGTGGTGAAGGGGTGTAGGAGGTTTGCAGTTTGACTGGAAGGTGAGGGCATCATTTGATTTAGAGCTTTAAATGTAGAGACTTATATGATGATTTGCTCAGGTCAGAGTGTTGACCTGTGCAATTAGGCTGGAGCCTGAGCTTACAAGGAAGCGCTTGTAGGCAAGTATTAGTGTTTTTGTTAAATTTACACCTGTGCCTCCTTTATATGTGGTGTCCTGACTCTCATTTATTGTCAGCACAGGGATAGGCCTCAAAAATAATTCTCGGGTAGAAACAGAGAAAAGAAAGTATGTGCAAACAAAGCAATGTAACTTCCAGTTGTACACAATGACTTAATGCTGGCTAGAGTAAAAAACCCTCTTTTTCATTTAACAAAAAACAAAAACAAACACAGTTTAAGTGTATTGAATGAGCATTTAATTGAGTATGGTGTTTAAAAGAAGTCAAGAAAATCTTAAAGTAACTGCATATTTTTATTGTATTAATCAAAAAAATCTGACATGACATTTCACAAAGACCCAGGAATATTACAGTACACCACATCAACTTTGGCCTTTCACCTCAGACTTTCAGACTACAGACCTCCCTACACACACCACTGTACCTTTGCCATTATATAGAGCTCTGTTGTCCACAAAAACAGTCAGACAGAAGATGCAAATCGAGTTCAAGTGAACATTTTACACTCTCACACAGACACACACAGTCAGTCATACAAACACAAAAGCTTCTGGTTGTGAGCTTTTGGAAATCGCTGCATCACATAGAATGGGATATATAAGGAAGTTTTAGAAGAGAGGGCTTTTAGAACAACAAAGGACTTTAGTTGGATAGTGTCTCCAGGAAAAAAATATTTCCCATTGGCTGTAAGGTACCAGAAAATGCCAAAAACAAGTAAATGCCAGAAGAACATGACCACTAAAAAAAGTAAATCTACAAGTATAAGGAAAACAAAAGAATTCAAAACCTCTCAGCTTATCTTTCCATATAAATACGTAGGAATAAAACTGTGCTTTCTTTACCTCTCTCTCTCTTGCCACCATGTCATTGTCAAATGCATCAGCTACGAACATTAGTCATGCAAGTTCAAACACAAAACAACAGCTGGCTGAAAAGGGATACTCACGCATGTTTGACACCACTGCTGCTTTAATATTGGTGTAAGTATTTAGCTGAACTGGCTCCACGGACCTCAAAGATGCACTTTAGATTTATGTAATGCACCAATCAGCCACATTCTTAATCGATTAAAGTCTGCTTTTTTAGCCATTCAAAGTTAGTCTTGACCCCTACCAAATGGTATCAAAATGCTGAGTGTCCCTAGGTATAGGCATTGTCATTCATTTTAATTGGAAGAGTTAATTACACATCTAAAAAAAAGGGCATATAAATAACAATGACACTGATATAATACATCTACAATCCCCACAATAGACCCAGGTTGTGCTGCCTTGCTTTTTAACTGGGATGAATGTACAAAGTTAAAATAATTTCATTAGAATCATGTTATTTGGTGGTAGCAGCACAAAACAAAACAGATGATACATAAAAGATTTCATAACTGTAAAACATAAAAGCACAATTTCATCTAAAATACCCACCTGTTTCTTTCTTGCATACAGAATATGATATACCAAAGTACCACAGAAAAGCTCATCATCTGAGCCTGTTCAGGCAAAGAACACAAGGGGACAGGCTACACACACCATGTTAGCATGAACAACCAACACATGTTGGCTCTCTATACAAATGAAACATCTATAGACTAAGACATCAAAAAGGAAGACCTTAAAGTCCTAACTGTCCTTTAACTAGAGTTGAGATCCTTAATTAAGCTGCAATTAATGATCTAATTGACTGAAACTCTACATAAATAGTTATTACAAACAGTGTGAGATTTTTCTCTCTCTTTTGCTAAACAATGCAATGTGGGAAGTTCAATGTGCTAACCAATAAACCTCATAGTCACTTAATTGCCTGCAGGTCTATGTATCACTAACAATGTAGGGTTGTAAAGTAAATGTAATAGTTGTTGTAGATTATTTCTGAAATGTCTTTACATACTCTGCAATGCCACTCCAAGCTATGTACCCTTATTTGACTCCATGTTGCATTTTCAAATTATTATGTTATTATTATTCATTTATATATTTGACTGTTTCTTCCTGCTTTGATTGTTTTCTGAAAACATCTTAGCACTCTTGTATTTCAATGCAATATGACATTTTGTCCCTCCTTTTTTCGAGTGGTTTTAATGCAATATAACAACCAGAGGCCGGTTATGAATTGCTCCTAACTAGGATGAAATGCACTGATTGTAGTAAATATTTTAAGCAGAGATGCACAAAGGAATCATCTGGTGATCTCTACTCATATTTTCTGCTTGACCAGCCCAGCTTTATTAATCAGTTGGTGTAAAAAAAAATAAAAAATCTCTCATTGAATGCACAATACTAAATCAGTCTTTAATGTAGAAGCTGTTACTAAATGAAGAAAAACCAACTTTCCTTAGTGTTGAAAACTGAAAGGGAACCACAAAAAGTATCAAACGCTAATAAATATATATTTTTAAAAGACTCAACATGCCGAGAGTTGTCTGTTGGGAAATTGCTTCCAATAACTTTTAGTGAAATGCTAATTGTGAGTTTGTTCCTAAGGTGCTTAAAATAGTTAAAAATGTCATCAATGTATTCATTTCAGGTCCCTCTAAAAGAAAACGTTACAACCCCATTGTACAGTGACCACTCTCTCACACAGTATGATTTAATTAAGCTGCTGTTTGCAGAAGGTTTGAAATAACAATATTTAAATATTGGTTATTATAATTCTTTAGGATTGCTTCCACTATAGGAAGCTTTAAAAATAACTATTGTTTTCTGGGGCCATTATTACTCCCATTTTTACCAGGGTAGAAAGTATCATAGAAATAGACCCTGATGAGGAGGCAGTGATTTTATATTGAGTTTAGTGAAAGGGGAGTACTCAGTTTTTCTGTGACTGATATTTTTGAACGTTCACCTTATTAAACATTATAATGTAAATTATTATAACTGTAGACTATTCCTAGTTAAAATGATACATGTCTTATATATCCTGTTAACTTTAACCACAAATGATCGTACTGTACAACCACCAAGTGATTTTGGGGCGGGGGGGTGGGGGGGGGGGGGGGGGGGAAATCCATTTGAGGCAGTATTTTTCTTTTTTTTTACTATTAATTCTCAGTGGAACAGATAAAGTTAACTATAACTACCATGGATTCCTATCTTCAGGACATGTCTGGTCTCTGATGGGCAGGTCTCTGCTATTTTTCATTAAATATTTGTGGATAAAAAATAAAAATGCCTAGACTCTTGGGTTTGCGAAAACACCAGGTGGTAATGACAGCTGGCTGTATTTATTTTCTGCATATCATTTTAAAATGTGAAACATCTATGCCTTGTGATGTACTTTATATTGCCTTCATAAAGGTTATAAAATGTTGCCCCTGTGACTGACCAACTTGTTAAATTTGTATTGCTAAAAATCGAGCTTTTAATTCTGAGTTGGAAACAGCTATCGCCCACAGCCATGAGGAAAACCTTCACTGATACCCCTTAAGTTCAATTGTGGAATTTCGTAAATAAAGCTGAAATGAAGATTGTAGTAAAAATATGTTTTCAAATAAAAGGTTCTGGGTAAGTTGTTCTTGGTTTTGTAATCTAAACACAACTTTGAACAAAAATAGGCATTGGCAAAAATTCTTGCAGATCAAAGCTTTACAAATCAGTAATCAAACAGAAAAACCTGAGAAGTGCATCACTCGTTTGAGTCAGTCGAATATGCCGACGCACTTCAATGTGCCAATGAAAGCAGCTCCAAAAAAAATAAAAACCAACCAAACCCAACAACACTTTCACAACAAATGATGTGCTCTACAGGTGCTGGCATATCTTTATGGGTCCATTGTGTGATTTACACCAAGGACGAGTAACGATCCTGGATAGGGGGCCACAGATGTTCATCGAATACTCAGGTTGCTACAAATGTTAATGAAACATGCATGCACATTTAAACACATTTATTGTTTCTCAGTTGAAGACTACACTTTTGCATCGTGTTCCAGTTGTCACCATTATCATTCTGTCCACATTTAAGTCACTTAAGGAAATATTATACCTTGAGGAGAGATTATCCAAACCTTTGGGACTGTTAATGAGTGGTGTTGTCCAGAGAGCAATGATCCACAAACCATTAAAGTGGTTTAGATGGCTTGTAGGAAAAGCTTTAGACTTGTGTCAGTTTATTGCCTCATAACGCTGTGTTTCCATTCGAGTATTTTCTAGTACAATTGACTATCCTAGTGAAGCAGTGTAAAGGGATCGTGCAGAATCAGTATGGGCAGTAAGGCAGCACATGCAGGGAGCTGGTCACGAGGAGGAGGAATCATGGGAATGGTGTACCATATAGTGGTGGCATCCATAGATAAATAAACACAATACAGGAGGTGTTGTGTGTGCGTGTGTGTGCATGTCTTTAGGTGTGTATTTGCATGAGTGAACACCTCCATGAGTATCTGGTGTCTGAGTTACTATTTTTCATTCTCCTCCTTCACGCTTTTATCTGTCTCTTTTCGTCATTAGTCCCCTGCACTGCGCGGTGCCCGAGGGCTTCGTTTCCCATCATGGGTCCTGCGGTTTCTCCCCTTTCTTATCTCCTGGAAATGCTTCCACTTCTTACTGGATGGCCGAACAGCAGGACCCGAAGGCAGGATCTCCTTCCTTGGAGAAGGAAAACTCTTTGCACCCTGGTCAGCACTGGCATGCTTTCGTGCCCAAACTTGCTCACAGATTTGGTCGACAGTGCTGAGGTTAGGGTGGTCCACCAGCTGCATGAAATCCCGGTACCAAAACTTTTGATTGGTTAGTGAGGAACCACCTGCGCTGCGAGGATCTAGCCGTACAGGAGCGTCAGAGTGTAGTTTGGAGACAGAAGATGTTGATGGTACTACTTCTAGAGTGATGCCCAGTAATGTCTGTGTGAATCCGTGCTCCATAGCATGGCACTGGTAGACTCCAGCATCCCTCTTTAGGACCCGGCGAATTAGGAGGCCTCTTTCTGTATGGAGGATGCGCTCATCAAGACGTACCTAAGGGCAACAAGTATACTTCAGTTCAGCTCTCAGTGTTTTAAGGTTTCAGCACATTGTATCAGTAACTTCTGATCTACTTTTTTGGATTTTATGTAACAGACCAACAAAAATTAGCATACATTTCTAAATGGGAGGAAAATGATGAATGGCTGTGAAACATTTAATGACTGAAAAAAACAAAGAGTGTGATGAATTTGTATTAAATCCATTTGTTTTGACATTAGTTGCTGCAATGAAAGCAGAGGTTATACCTTCTATTATTTATGTTACCTTGTGTTATTAAGACTTAGCTTAAAACTTTATCGATAAAACTTGTATAACGCTTCTATTTATTTACATTCTCTCTTCTGGAGGGGATGATACGCTGATCTTTGGTTTTCAATATCTCTACATTCTCTCTCTATAGAAGACAAATTGGATCCTTTGTGTTTAACCTTCCAACTGGACACCACTGAAGGAGCTATTGCTGCAAATGATTGTATACTGTTTTCCACACTTAATGCAATCAACCATTTTTTTTAACCGACTAAAGTAACAAATTAACCTTGCTAATAGCATTTTATTCTAAATGAGAAATTAAAATGTATGTAACTTATTTTCAATCTTTCGACACGCATTGATTTAACAGATTATATCTATGGATACAAATTCAATCCATTTAAACTACCATAAGATATTATTTGGAGCAATTGGCACCAAGCAAAAAGCAAAAATTGAATCTTCACCTTTGTATTTGTGGATAGAGAAATTCTTGTCCATTCATCTTTGGTCAATAGCTTAATGCCAGATTTGTTGAAGTGAGCAGCAAACTTAGATTTTCCCTCAAATTATCAATTGGATTCAGTTCTGGACTTCAAATCATTCTAATACATAAATATGGTTTATTCTCAATCTCTATGTTGTGGCTGGCTTTACATCTAGGCTCATGAGCTCTGCAAGCTTCTCTAACCTGCAGAAAGAAAAATGTATCCACAAAATGATGCTGCCACCACCATGGTTTAAAAAAAAAAGGAACTCCTTTTCTTTCCATTTCATATTCATTACTATTTGAAGGTCTATCAATTACAGCTCTGACAAAATACAATAAAATGGCTGGTTGAAACTTAGCAAAATGTAAAAAAGGTACATATATATACCATTGGTCTCATATTTGCATATTATTTTGAAAATAAAACAAATGACCATCTTTTTCTGAACAACTTTTTTAAATAATGCACTTATAAAACCCAATTTTGTCAGTACCCTTTGGTTGGTCAGTTAGTTATAGTTTATAGACACCATGGGAGATTAATCCTACTTACCAGAAAACAAAAGGATAGATCAAAAGTTAATAAATGGCATAATTTCGTGATTAGAAAACATTATTATGACTTCAGGCAGCATCAATACTATATTTTATAGTCCTCATCCTTCCCCTCTCACCTCTTCTCGGGGGTTTTGTGGATGTTTCTGGTAGGTCCAGGTGACTTTGGCCTGAAGGGATTTGGGAATACACTCCAAAAAAGTGCTGCTTCCCTCAACTCCATACAGGGTCTTCTCTGCAACATGGTGCTTGTGGTGGTCTGAAGGGGGCAGCAGAGACACACATATTACAGGTTCACTTAATATCATAAAAGAAAACAATACCTCGTAAGCATGAAAATATCCTTACATTGGCCTATGTGTTGAAAAGGACATTTGAGAAAAAAAAAAAAAAAAAAAAAACTTTTACCTGTATGACAGTTCATGTGAAGAAAAAAGACTATTACTTTTATAAGAGCTTCCTTTCCATTATTTCCTATCAGTGAGAAGAATTGTTAATATATTTTAACAACTAATGTCTTTACAGTACTTGATTACACCCACTGCTCTTAAACTTCAGCTAAAATAACTGGAAAAAGAAAGACAGGCTCAGCAAAGGAGGCTAAAACCCCAGATGCGCTGGTATGCCGCTTAAAGGGGAAACAATTGTGTGCAACCTGATAAACAGACAGATCTGCACGTTGGGGCCAGTCCAGTCACATCAAGACAATTACACTGACCTTCATTAGTTTAACTTGGTACGTGGCTCTCTTGCCACATGATGTAATCGTATTACCCAGGAGCTCTTTCAGCTGGAGTGATTAGCCTGATTTAATTGTATTGCAGAAACACAGATATAGGCAGAATGCTTGCTTTGTTGTCTAGAAGGACAAATGTCAACAGAGGTCAATTATTTTTTCACTGCCTTTGTCTACGAGGACAGTAAGACATCAAATGCAAAAATGTTTCACGCGTCAAAGCAGGATCAGGAATGGCTTTCCTCCCTAGATGTGGAGCTCTTCAGACTAACACCTGTTATATTCAATAGTATGTTCTTTTTGTGACAAAATAATACATTAATAAACAAGGTTTAACAAGGTCTTATGTCAGAAAATCTCATAATATCACAACACAATGATCCTTTTAATTTATTAAAGTGAAGTTTCATTTTACAAATCTCTGCATAGTTACTTCAAGGGAAAGAGAATAGCTCTTTACAGCATAAACTAATAAAACTGCTCTACAGCAGTGTTCTGAATTAACTAAATGAATATGCACACTCATCCTTCTCATCAAAACATGTAAATAAACGCAGCTGCTTTAGTAATCCATAATAAAACGTGATGTAAGCAAAGAGAACAGGAGAGAAGTAAGCAGATGGTGCAAAATAGCAACATTGGCGCATACTAAATGGTAAATAAATGTCAGTCTTGAAAGGTGAACGTTTATTTTTTAAATCTAAATTTTATAATATATGAACTGATGGTTGGTTTCGATTGGAGATGCAAACTGAGCAAATAATGGTTTGGGATAAACTATGTATGTTATTTGTTTATTTGCTTATTTTTCTATTTTTTAAATTTTTTTTTTTGACCTGGCTGGACTCACCTTAATGCAAGTTGTTGTTAAGGGGAAACTTGAACAACCTTGCTTGTCTGATTGGCAAGCAACATTCAGCTATTTAAACTTTAAAGAAGCCCACATCATTGTTAAAATATCTCTGGGATAAATGTTTGAGAAGGCATAAGAAAAAAAGATTAGCATAACTGGCTAACCATAACTGCAAACCACAATAAAGTTGGTATCTGGTTTGGTCATTTTTGGCATCTAAAGGGCTATTTTAATTCTTTTAGACTGGGATTGCATTTAATAAAATACACATTCAAACATCAAAAAGTTGGACTCATCTAACTTGAACCAGGTGAGTTTAAACTAAACAATGATTTTAAATTTAAAATCAGTTTTCTTCCTTAAGATGATAATCTTGGAACTTAGAAAAAGCACATCAAAACAAGATGTATGAACTCTTAAAATTCCCTGAGCTAAACATTCTACACACAGTTTTTTTAAAAAAAACAAAAAAACAACGTTTTTAGTCAAAGCTTTATTCTATTTGGGAAAACAAAAAAGATTGCTAAAATCTGAGCCCATCATTCAGTGTATTCTGTTTGGAAGCTCTGTGAATTATTAAACCTTCAGCATTCAGTATTATAAGTGTTGTAACCTTACCTCCTGAGCAAAGGGTGTTAGGGTCTCCATTCCTCACATCCTGTCGACGGAAACGTCTGAAAGGAAAAAAACATTCTGGTTGCAGCAATTTATTGACTTTTTTCATGTTTCTCTCCATACTTGTGTCATGGACTTGTCACAGACCTCTTTGTATTTGGCAGATAGCGAGTACAAGAAGTTCCGTCCCAAGCGCAGTACGGGTCTCGGGCCAGGCAGCACTCAGCACAGGCCTTCCCATAAACGCTGCAGCGGTGAAGAGGGACTTGGGCAATTCCTGTGTCCGAGCCGACATACAGCTGTTGCTGTAAAAACAAGCAAAGACAAGTTGGATATTTTTGACAGAAAAGCCTGAAGACAGTTTTGCCTCTCAGGGTTAAAAAGGCTAGACCTGTTGTGGGTCATAAATCAAATGGGTTAGTTGTCTGTAACAGTGATAATTTAAGATGCCTTCAGGTAATTTGAGGTGCACTCTCTATAACTGTTCAGATTTAGTAGGGCTTTAGAGAGCTCTCTTTTTTTCCTGTTTGTTTTTTTCCAACATATAATCCGAGGTTGTCAGCTTATGAGCTTATTTTTCATTATTATTTATCAGTACCGTATATATTATTTTCATATTCACTTTACACATTAAACAGCCATTCAAATGTTTTCATTTTTTTATTATTATCAAACCAAACTTACCCTTTTGGAGGAGATCTGCATGTTGATGACAGATGAGGCATCCTACAGTAAAGGAAGGAAGAACGGACATTTGTACATTTGAAATAGATTTTTAAAAATCCCATTCTGTAGTAGTCTGTTTTATTTCTTTAGGTAAAATAAACTCTTGCAGAGAGTAAGGTTCTAAAAATGTCCTGTATTAGTAAAAATATTAGGTGACTAAACAAGCTGAAAATTCAAACATAAAGTTTTAAACGTCTATATTTAAAATTATATACACCCTGTAATAGCAAAACCATTGAAAGTAACCTTTGTTTTCTCAGTGACGCAGTCAAATGTAACTTAGTTTTTTATTTAATTTCCATTCATTGGATGTGTAGCATTATAGGTCTAATTTGTTGGGAAAATAACTAGATGTACATAAAACGCTTAACTGCTGGGACGGAGAGTTCCCTTAAAATTTTAACAGCCTCTTTATTGTGGAGTAGATGAGCACTCACAAAGTATACTAATGATATGTAGACAAGTGAGATTTTCTGCTGCTTCCTATCCCTACTGGTTGATTTTAAACTATCACTGCACAGCTTCAAGTATTCTGCATCTAAATCAACCTTTGACCTGACTAATCCTCCACATTTATCAAATAATAATATTAACATTCACCTTATCAACGTGTAAGTGAAAACTGCTGTAGTGTTGTCACTGTGTAATAAATGGTGTAATATCTTGTAGAATAAATCCAGAACAACTTTTAACTTCATTTTGACTTTGGGGTTATTCTTTCTCTATAGATAAAAACTATCATGAAATAAAAGTATGACTATAGTTGAAAGTACGCTGGGGAAAATAAACCCACCATTCAGATGAACTGAATTAAGATGACAGCTTAGGTTAAGTGAAACCATGAAATAAAAAATAGATGTCCCCTTTAATGCACAAGATATTAAACATTTCTATTGAATTCTTACTTTGAAGACCTCCAGCTCTTCCAGTAAAAGTTCTTCCATGTTGTTCCAGCTCTCCTTGGGAACACTGATCACCTTTAATACTGTTCCTTTGTCTGAAATACCACATGAAATGATCTTAACATCATTTTCACCTTAGTTAAAAATAAATGTAAAGCAAAGAATAAGCTGTTACCTGTTCCGATGAACATTACATCATACTGTCCATCAGCAGCGTTGACTCTGTCCACCACGATCTGTGTGAAGCTGTAGTCTACATTGGTTCTAACAAAAACAGGTCGTCGACTCATTGGGTACACGGGGTTGTACATCAGAGGGTGGTGACGGGCAAACTGGATCACATCATCCGGGAAACCCTTCGTGGACTCAAAGCTCCCAAATGTCTTACTGGGACACTAATGGAAGGAAAGGAGAGCCTGGATTTCATTCCTAGAAATATTTTGCAACAACTTGAAACATAAAAAAAATATGTTTATATAACTTCATCAATTCCATAGAAACCTATTTTTAGTGTAGCTTTATTCAAGTGGGAAAAAACAAAACTCAAGTTGCACTAAACTCCGGTAGTGCCCCAGTGAGGTCATTATGGTGTGAGGGTTGTCAAGGACTTGGAAGAGAATTACTCCAGGTCAGAGTCCAGCTTCTCTCTTTAATTAAAATTCCAGTCCAGGATTTTTCTCCATACTTAGGGGCACTTTAGCACCTTTGGACAACTTAGCTTAAAACTAATTAGGTTATTGCTTCTGTGCTTTTATTTGAAGAAACTTGACACATTACGCTGGTACAGCTTAACTACTGCACAAGCCTTGATTAAGGTTCTGCATCTAAAATCCAAAGAAACAAAATTAATTTTTGCATAGGCCTAGATAAGCTTGTCTTTTGGTTACATTGAACAAGTTTAGATCTTTAGTATATAGAAAAAACTCTGACTAAAGAGGGCTATTTGGAAAAAAAAAAGCTCAGAATAGCTTTTTCACTCAACAGAAGTACATCTTTGATTTGTTGATCAGTCTATCATGTAAATTCAACCCTTATCAGCATTTTTATTCTCTTCTTTCTCTCTTAGAATATGGGAGCAATCAAACTGCAGTTATGAAATAACTGCTATTTCTTCAGGCAACTGGGAGAAAAGATAAGAATCAATTGAGCATCTTTTTTTAATATTAATAACTTGTTTAATTTAATCACAATATCTATGATTGATAAATATATGCAATGTGTCAGAGTCTAATATCTGTTAGCTAGTAAGCATGATATTTAAAGGTATAGTGGAGGATGCTCTTTTTCCAGGTGGATCATCAAAATAAGTGGTCCTCCTAATTGTCAATCATCTGGTGATGTGTTTACGTAAGGCCGTCCTACGTGCTCATCCCCATATTCACTCACCGGTGAGGTGGAAATCTTCTTTTGGATAGTAAGCTTGTATGAGTGATACAAACAGCAACGTTTAAACAGAGTGTGCACGCGGAGAAATGGGCTTGTGCACGCTCTCGCACACGTTTGATAAGCAATCCCTTTCCTGAGTGAGTACAGGGTTGTGGATGTGCTTTTATTTTTTAAAGTGGAGAGGTCTTTTCAAAAATTAGCAAAAATCCTCCACTATACCTTTAAGTAAAGCAGATGTGCGTCAGCCAGAAGACTAGGCTGCAAAAATCTACAGTCGGAGTGAATAATGACAATTTAAAAAAAGCTGAGACAAAAAAAAGACTGGATTAGAAACTATTTTTTTCTGAAAACTACAGGGGGAATAAAAGGAAGGAAAAAAAATCTAAAGCTCAACTCTAAAAACATTTTAAATGTTTGATCTGTATTAATCCAAAATATAATTTCAGACTTTTGATACATCTTTAAATCAGTGTCTAAGTGTTTCTGCACATCCTTACATATTTAGAGTCACATATTTAGAGTCAAAGCTGGAAAAAGAAAATATTGTGTAATTTATCCTTTCCATGTGAGTTTGCTGCAGCAGTTTTTTTAAGTGCAAAGAAAAGAAAGGTATTCAGAAATGCTTGAACTGCTATAGAACACGGGGATGATAGTATGCTAACCTATAAGAACACAATTTGCAACGTCATAAATGACAAAGAATTGCATTTAACTCGTTGGAATTTATTATCTTAATAAACTCTGGATGTTTTTACTGTGTCTCCGTTGTTTTGTCATTGCGGTTATTAACATACCATTCCTGGGCGAGGATAGGGTACTTTTCCCTGGAACGGGACCCATTGGTAGTTAGGCCCCTCTTTGTGTGCAAATGGCCCCAGGAAGGCCCTCCGGATGTCATTCATAGAGTAAAGACACACAGCTGAGCCTTTAAATACACTGCTGCTGGGGGGACAAGAGGAGCAAGGTTAGATACAACAAACACATTCATATCCTACATCCACTTGGTTTCCTTGCCATTCGCTTTCTCTAATGCACATATTCACACACTCTCTTGCGCATAAGCAAACATGCACATGTGACTAAACTCTGACCTGGAAGTAGAGAAGACGGTGTACACCAGAGGGTTCTTTCTGTCCCTTGTCTGCAGCAAGAACACGTCCCCTGAGGACAGACACACACAGACAGTCGGGTCAGGTGGCAGTAGCCCAAAGGTCGAAGGTTGGAAAAAAGATAAACAAAGCCCTATGGACATGTCTAACCACTTTAAAGAGACATTTCGCTGATTAGTGGGGGTCATGACATGAAACAGAATCCAGTGCAGCTTAATGCGGATGTCAGCAAACCCAATTTTAACTTTTAAACAAAAATGTCTTATAGCATTACTTTTTAGATACCACAAGAAAGTTTACAACCTATTGTGGTCCATTTTTTGGAAGATATCTTTACCAGATAATCAGCACAGTTTTGCAGCAATGACCTTTCCACTTCTTGGCCTCAGGTAGAATCCTAAACTAATCATCAAGATAAGAGACACATCTTTCACATGGAGAAATGTGAATGACAGGTGTAGCCTAAGGTAAGGTTACGGTTTCAACAAAGTCTTCCACTTAGTTAACCTTTCACTTCGTCATGAGATGAACAAAAAGGCAGATCATATTATAGCCCACAGAAAGTTTCAGACTCTTTATCAGCAGCATCTTAAAGCAGCTGGGAAAACCGCATGACGAAAAAAGGCCTGAGAAAAATATTACATAATTAAAGTCTTAAAACAGAAAAGTGAATTTTGTTGGAAAATATAAAAAACTGTCAATTAAACGAAAATCAATTTTGGTAGCCCACTGCTGGTTAAATTAACAAATTTAAGCAGCTTGGATGTTATTATTTGTTATTTTCACAGAAGATAATGTTACACATTATAAACATGTTTTCATGGATTTTATTATGAATCAATATATTGACTCTAATATACCTAAATAAATTATTTGAGTTAAAATTAATTAAAAGTTGCTGGTAAGCACTTAAAAAAAACGATTGTAAAATAGTGGTTTGAAAAGTTTATAAAGGAAGGTTATTTATAGAAACGATCAATAACTTAACAGATGTTGTGGACATCCATCTGATAAATTCAATTTTTACATGTTTTTACTGGAATCTTTAAAATATATGAACATCAGCCTAATTTGAACTCAAATTTCAGATATATCCCAAATGCTTCTTTCAGATCAATGCATTTTGTAAGATAACCTGTTTTAATATCTAAATCTGTCAGAGTATAAATAGTGTTGACCTTATATGCAACACTATAGAAATTAAATAAAGTTCAGGAAATCTGGAATTTAATATTTCATTTGGTAAATCAGGTGAGGGACTTTTATATAATTTAACCTACATACATATCTTTTCGGAATGGAATAAATGACTCAATAAAGTCTAAACCACATTATGTAAAAAACGTATTGCACCTTATTCTAATTACGAAATACTCCAACAAAATTTTATTAAAGAAAATGTTGCTTTGAAAAGTTAAAAGGGCTTAATTTTGAAGATTTTGAAGCCTTTCTAAATTGTTTTGACCTCTTTCTGTTTCAGGAAATATCAAGCGAAATTATTGGAAGATACACATACAAGCACCATTAGCATTGCTGTAATTTTAATAGGCTCGTTTTAAATTGTCTGGATTTTTACTGTAGGCTTTATGATATTATGGATTATAAAGTCTGCAAGCTGAAAGGAAATCTGCAATTAGCATTACCCTTCCTGGTGGATATATCAGATTTTCCTAACGTCTCAGTTTACATCACCAGAAAGTTTTTCTGGGTAGAAATAAAGAGGTAAGGGTTGGAAAAGCATCCAGTTTCCCCTGCCTTATTTTAGCTTTTCACAAAGATATATGAATAAACAGTTCTCTAAATTGTACCACAGATTGAGTCAGAAAAGTAAACAGAAAATATGTTTCATTCCCTCTCATGTTTTTTTTTTCTTACATTAATTGCAAATCGAAGGGAAATAAGCTGAGGCAATAAAAAGCAGGACCAGCTCCTCATGATTAAATTAACATGCTGCAAGTTTTATTTGAGTTTCCTGGATAACCTGAACTCTACATATTTTGTATGTTATATCATGCATAGCGAGGAAAGAACCAGGATTTTTAGTTTAATTTTGATATTTTAGTCCAGACTTTGTGCACAGTGGACTTACGCAGCTCATCGAAGTACGTGTCACTGCCATCAGCTCCTGGTACCGAGCAAATCAGACGGGTCTTCAGGAATGTTGTCCACTTGTTCACCAGACTTCTCTGTCCACCCATGTCATTCTGACAAAATAAAAACCTTAGTCATGATCTGACCTTTACATAAGAGTTTCCAAACCCAATGTCTCATATTGTTTTATAATTATTGAGCTATCTCTTACCCTGCATAACTGTCCGATTCTGGAGTAAGTAGACTTCCCCAAACCCTGAGCTTCAACCGCTGTCTCCCGGAAGAAGAAAAAGATCTTATCATCATCTGGATTTTCACTCTCAGGGACCCAAAAGGAGCCGACAAACTTTGGTTCTGGTTGGAAGATTGAAAGAAAAATAAATACAGTGTCAGTCATCACAGCACGTTATCTCACGGGGGTGCTTGATGCTTATTAGCGAAACAACCAAAAGGACACACACCACTGAGCCAGCGTGAGTCATGTTGTTCGGTGCGAATGGAGGGACGTTTCCCCAGACTCCTGAAGATGGTGAAGTCTCGTCCCATTAAGTCTGTGGCTACACCTGCATATAGCTCATCCCCTGGGAAACAGAAGTAATCATAAGTCTACACAGTGCTTGCAAACATTTTCATACCACTTAAACTTCTTCACAGTTTGCCAAATTGCAACCACTGACCTAAAAAGTTTACAACAAGTAACAAGCACACAGCTCTCATTGCAGAAGTTGCGAAATGCAGCTCCAAGGACATAAGGTTTTCAAATAAAATTATGTTTCACTTAAATATACAGTATTAAAGTATTTCCCCAACAGCTTTGCATATAATGAAACTAAAGGTTTACATATTTTAGACTGAGCCAGATTGAATGGAGAGTGTTTGTAAGCAGGAATTTTTCTTTAGTTGGATGTAACTAGGCCTAAACTGTGACTAAACCATTCTAATCCAAATGTGCTTTAATATAAACCATTCTAGTACATTTCTCGAAGTGTTGTATTCCTGCTAAAAGATGAACCTCTAACTACAGCCAAAGTCTTTTAGCGTCTAAATGGTCTTTATTTCAAGTAAAAGGGGTGTTTATCTCAATTCATTTTCATTTAATCTCTGAGGATGAACCCACATGCACAGCATTAGCTGCCATCATGTTGTGTTAGTGTTCCACCTGTTATACATTAAGCTAGACTAAAAGATTAAGCTGCTTCCATGTGATTTTTTGGGTCCTAATTTCAGGACATCTATGCCACTGTGGGTTTATCTTGCTGCTATCACATTTGTGCATAACCAATATTTTCACCTGTCTACCTGATATTACCGTAGTTTTGTTAGATGGCCATGTTTTGTTTGGTTTGCACTGTACTCTTTCCATTTTCAGATTACCAATTAGCTACCATTATGTAAGATCCACAAAATCTGTCCTAACTCTGCTTTAACTTCTTCTTAACTTTCATCCTCACCTGCCTGGTATGTTACTTTGTGGCCAAAAAGCTTTTTGTTGGCAAAAGTTCAAAACTTTGACCACAAAATGTATGTTAAAAGTTAATTGACTTCTGAAAGCCATTAATTAAACTGTATGTATTAAGAAGTATAAACATTGATAGAGCTAAAACATAAATAACATCCAAATTTTTTAGATTTGTCTTCAATAAGTCTAAGAAGATTACATTTTTGTCTTGCATTTCATAAGTGTATTGTGTTGTTCTTGCACATTCATTCTTAAAATTGAAGGCCTACTTTGGGTTTTAGATCAACAAGTATGAGTTCTTAAGATCCTCTAGAAAACAAATTATAGATATGTTGATGACTAATGATATTTAGATCTATATTTATATCATATTTATATGGTATTTATATCATAATGTTTAAAGATATGAGATCATAACTTAGAACAAGGAAAATACAAATGCATTGGTTAATAGTGATGTTTGTATTGTTACGGTAACACGTGTTAACAGAGTTTTCAGGAATGTTAGTAAACTAAAAATGTATGTTTCTGCTTAGTGGTTTTCTTTTTTTTGTCAAATACACAAATTTATATTTAAATTAATTGAGGTTTGTGGTTATAAAAAATCTTAAAACAAATGTTAAGGGTTAAATGTATCTCTTAAGGAACTTTAGTTACAGTCCAAAACAGTATTAGACAACAATAAAGGAATATTTAGTCACATAACGCACAATAAAAGAGTCAAATGAGTAATCGGTTTAGAATATTTGTATAGCTTCAGTTACCGATCAGCACAGAGGCGGCGGTATGTCGAGGATCATATGGACTCTTTCCTTTACCGTCCTCCACCTTAGAGGGGTCAATCTTAAACACATGGTCCTGATGGGGAAAATAAATTATTTTTTGTTATGGCAGGAAAGCATGCTGACCATCAAATAGTATATTTGAACTTTAATGAAGTGTATCAGCTTGTTGTGTTTGTTCTTTACCTCCATCCTGTGTCCCACCTCTACGAAAGCACAGGTAGGATGGAAGGCCCCGGTTCCACAGGCATACAGATGCGTACGGTTATAGTGGTGCACAATCTTCACATAGTTGACACAGTCAGACTAAAACAGACATACAGATTGTTCTCATTTTAATCATACAGTAGTTTAAATAGTGATGTTTCCTTAATTGCCAAAATGTTCACTATTAATGCTTCTTCTGATATCATGAACAACATTTATAAAGATTTTTTTTTTTTCACGGGGAGCTGTACTAGGTTGAAGTTGGACATTCTGTCCTTCGGCTTATTGATGCACATTCCTTGCATAGCTCCTCATGCTCTGTGCCTGTGACAACACGGCCAAGCTCTTAGATCAAACTCCAGCACACTGTTGTGACGCTCTTTGTGTCCTGGCTCAACACACACAAATGCCTGCAGTATGTTTTTTTTAGGAGTGTCCCCAGCTAACCACCAAAATGAACTAAACCAAAAATCCTTTGCTTAACAGATGAAGACTTTGGTTGATAAATAATATCAGTTCAAATTAAAAGGCAACAGCCTGGATTTCATAACGTTTAATGACACCTGGTACTTTGAAAACCACTCCATGTCATCTTTGGGGTCCCGTCTGCTACACATAAACAGCTTTCAGCATTTTGACCTCTGTCTGATCCTTCCTTTTTCCTATCCGATAGCGTGGTATTGACCCCAACACACATCGGTCCATCTCAGACTCGCGTTACAGTGAGCTTGTTCTCAGGGGACCACTAATAAATGACTTAGTGTACTCTAAGAGAATATGAGCTACATTAGCAATGCAGCCTAAGAACAGGGCACTCTGAGGAGAATGACCCATTAAATAACAAGAGTGCGAACATAATAATGAGCATTATGATTATCATTAATAGGATTTTCTCTATTTGTATTTTACATCCTTTTGATTTGACTGTCAAAATTAGCATTAGCAATCTGCCTTGGCAGCAATAATAGAAAGTTTCCCTAGGTCGATGCAGTGACGCACAAACTGCAGAGACAGCAAACTATGCAGGTCATCAGCGCTTTTTCCACTAGTATGGAGAACAGGATTAGAAGGATGGAGCTGTGGGAGAATAAGTTCTACCAGTTGCTTCGCTGAGTTTCCTGGAAATGAAATTCTTTATCTTTTTTTATTACCTGTTATTAAAGTCACTAAGTGTTTGTAGTGATGGCTTCACCAACAACACAGGTTTCACTTTAAATTTGGTATTTCATATTCTGCACAATAATCTAGACTGAGAATCAGCCTTACAAGTTAAATATACATTAACTAGATTTTTGTAAAGTGCACCCAGTGATGTAACTCTTGGTGTCTAAAAAGTGCCATGCTGACACTAACATTTATATAATTTAAACCTTTATCATAGTTTGTCCAACAACAACAGGAAAATAAATTCAATTTTATAGGACACTATAGGATGGACCGACACAAAGCAAACATACTTGGAAAGTGAATTGGAAATTATTTGCTGTTCTATTTGTTTTTACTAAAATAATTTGAATTTATATGCATTCATCTTTTTTTCTGATTTTCCTTAAGAGTGTCTGAGTTCACCCGCGTGATATGTAACATCAGCAAAACTTCAGCTGTTCTGGAAAGGACTCAAAGGTTGAATTTAAAGTATCAGAGAACAAAACCCATCAAAAAATTAAGAAAACACCATAAAGTTTATCTTGTTTCCTGGGGGAGTGGTGATCTAGTGGTCCCACAGGGTTAGGGTTAGTCCCACACACTCCCACAGACTGCAGCTCTGGGTCCTTGAGTAAGACCCTTAACCTCAGACTGCTCCCCGGGCGCCGCACAATGGCAACAAACTGCTCCCCAAGGGGATGGGTTAAATGCAGAGGGTTAATTTCGAAGCTCTGTACTTGTGACAGTGTAATGACAATAAAAAGTTAAAAAATTTATAAATAAAAAATATGTGGAGAAGAAGCAGGATTTAATTATTAAACATAACCTCAGGCTTGGAATATATCAGATATAGAAACCAATGAAAACAAGTATGACAGCCACCTTACTGTTAGAGCTGCAATAAAATAGTTTAGATTAAATTTTAAACCTGCGAATTGTTGTTTAAGTCCAGACCTAAATCTAACTGGAAACTTGTGACTTTAAAGTAGATGTTCACAAATCTTTTCTTCCACAGTTGTAAAGCATAAAAAAGTGTTAAAATGTTATTCTTCAAATTTGAAAAGCTGTAGACATCCCCAACACCTGTAATTGTAGCAGCAAATGATCGTTCCATAAAACAACGGCTTAAGGGGAGAAGAATGCAATGATGTCACACCTGAAGTTTATTTACCTTTTTTTTTTTCATTATCGGTTTTAACATTAAAGAATGTGAAAAAGTTAAAAAAGAGTTTTAACCCTTTGTCTGTTGGGCAGTTGTGTTGCTCTTTGTATTTCAGCATCACCACATGGTGAGACAGCCTGCATAGCTGTGGCTTTTTAATGCAAGAGAGGAGGGAAAAAAGTAGGAGAGTATTTCAAAGAAACGCAGAGGACAGGGACGATGACTTATGTCAATAATCACATTTTGTTAAAGGGGGTTTGTGGATGTGTCTGTTATTGTGCTGGTGCGGCATGCCAAAGGGTTCAGTGAACAACCTTTGACCTCTCACTGACTCATTAGTTGAAACAGTGAGCAAAAAAAAGCAGGCTGTGACCTAAACACGGCCTCAGTTGATGTTTTACGATTACCTCCTCCAAAGCTGAATTGTTCCATTGAGGATCTCTTTTTTGTTCTTTTAACCCTTTTATCTTTTTCAGATGATGATTAACCTGATAAGTCAATTTGTTTGTCTTTTTGAATAAATAATTGTAGGAATGAATCCTAATCGATGCAGCAGCACTGTTCTTTATCATATTTCAACCTTTCTTTAATCAATGTATTATTTTCTTGGTATATCCTGCCTCTGACAGTTGCATATTACATGCCTGTTTAAGAGATATGTTTCTGCCATGACATTTAAGCTTCAAGTCTATGTAATACAGGAAGCATTCCTAAATTTAAAAGCTGGGTTTGCAGTTTGCACTTGACTGGCTTGGTGGTTTACCAAAGATATCCTCTAGATACACAATACAGCACAGTCTAATAGTGCAAGAATGCCTTTGATTACCTCTGCTGATCATTACAAAGCAGCTGAATTGACCATACAGACATATTCCTTCCAGTTAAGATGTGGGAATGAACCTCATACAAACTCTAAATTAAAAGGATGTAATTTCATAACAACTTTCAGACTGATTAAAAACCAGTTCTGCAATAATAATTTGTAGCCGACACACAGGTTTCAACCTACCAACAGAATATTTGGCGAAGACATTGCTGTCATTCAGGAGCAGCATGGTTTCAGTTTCACATACATAAGGGCCACTGAGCCGCCTCAATCAAAGTTCAGGAGTTCAAGGTTCCCTGTTCCGTTTGGTTTCTCCTACATGAATAAATACTGTGTTAGTGTTATCTATGTGCTTTCCAGCATGACCAGAAGTATTTTGCAAGTCTAGTGAACCATCAAGGAGTTTAATGATGTTGCACTGACTCTAAGCCATTCATACTGCTAGTAATGGTAATGTACCCTCTCACACAATCAATCCAGATAAATTATTTTGTGAGTTTAGAATAATAAAAATTGATCATTTGTCTTTGCTTAGTATTATATTCATTTAAATAGGTACTGTTAGCTTTGAGGCAATGCCAAAGCTGATTATTCAGATATCTACTAAACTCAGAGTTCTCCTCTGTCTGCAGCTTAGAAGAGCTCTAACTGTGTTTGGGGGGAAAAGGCTGCCCTTGATAAAAATTAAATGATAGTTTTCAGAAATTACACAATAAAAACATTTTAACAGCTGTTTAACTCTTAATATTCTATACTCTCCCTAAACTATAAGATACATTATACATTATAAATAGCAAATGTTTCTTTTTGTTTTTAATCAGTGTCCTGTCTGGCGATATGGCAATAAGAATAATTGTCTTGATGCCAAAAGAAGAGCCCAACAGACTTTGCTTTCACAAGTGGAGCAGTACGGCTATCGCCATTGTGTTCCACTTGAAAAACAAATGTTTGGTTTTAAGATCCAAACTTCTATTTTCATTCAATTTGTGGCAGAGGGGAGATAAATGAGACCAACTACCAAAACATTGTAAACTTTTGAGAAGACTTATTTCATTCTTTTGCAATCTTTAAATAAAATCACTCCCAACTCCAAACAAAATTAATAACATTACCAGATGATTATTAAATCAGCCGTGTGTTACATGTCCCAAAAGACACAAATTCATCAAAATCAAGTGCACTGTATGTTCTTTAAAAATTAGGATTTATTTATGATCCTTTTTATGAGGACATAAGGTTCCTTTTATTTATATAGAATTCAATAATACAATTCATTGGTCTGGGACAGTTCAAGAAGTCCAAAATGCTTATAAACTTCTACAGAGCTCCACCTCAAAGGTATATAATATAAAAAAACAGTACATCACTGATTAGACCTTTTTTTTGTAGGCAACATTTGTATCCAGTTTATCGTACTTTCTGCTCTTGTAGAAGCAGTGGAACCAGTGGGTGTTTTAAAATCACCCACTGTGGTTCCTGAATAATGATCCTGACGTTTAAATCCAACGATAATCACTCTCTTCTACGGATTTAAATACAGCTCCAGTGTGACATTCAGAGTCCTGAGTCAGACTAAGTGTCTCAGTAAAGTGTCAACTGTTTATTGCCGCTGTCTGTCTGTGTTTATGTGAACACGTCTGTGTTTGTTTGGAAGCTTTCCTGTGTATGCCCTTCCGTGAGAGTGATAAGTTGCCTCAAAGCAGGTTTCACCCGATTTACTGTTCTGTATAGTTTAGGCCACACTGAGTCTAAAGGACACTATTAAAACAACCTTCACACCCTTAGATCTTGAATGATTTTTATACAGGGAAATGTAAGGCATGATCAATATTAGGATGGAGTGTGCGTGGGGAACACAGCAGGAAGACAGAGGATAATGGTGTGTTTAAGAATGAAGATCCATACTGTATAGCAGTTGTGGCTGGCCAATAGAGGGCGCTAGGGCGCCGCCCCACCCACCCAATCATCTTGATTAAGACATAAAAACATAAATAAATAAAAATCAAATTATAAAATTAGAATATTTCATAATATATCAATATATTTTTAGATGTGCAAGATTAATATTTAATCTTTAATGGTCTTTGCCCATAGTCAGTAGCTCCTCTTCAATGCAAAAGATAGGACCATCCGGGACGCATCTCTGCTCATTTTTTCGCATTTGGAAAAGATTGCAGCTTAAGGATCTTTTGGACTTGTGAAGGACAGAAAGTATAAAACCTTTGAATTAATTTGCTTGTCATTGTTCATTGTTTATATTATTTTGTCATCCTCTGACAGTTAATATTATTAATATTAATATATTTTCAATTTTATATTTGGTGTTGGTCTTCATTCAGCTCCCAGGCTCCATTACGAACCAATCTTCTGATGCTACCAACCGTTGATGACATTGTGAAGCTTAACTAATAGTGTTACATAACGCTCCATTCTGTTTTCCCTCCTCCTTTTTCAAACGTCAGAATCTGAGCCAGCATGGATTGATTTGATGATTGAGACAGGTATAACCGATTTAAAGCACTGTTCAGAAAATGTTATAATGTTGTTTTTTGTTGTTGGCATTCATGTTAATATACTGGTGTGATATCTTAGTTTACATTTGAATGGGTTTTGATATACGTCTGTTTGTTAACTCTGTATAGATTGAGGGTGAAAAAGTCTCTTTATTTTGATTTTAAAAAATTTTCAGTGCTGTTCTTGTGCGGGTGATACGAGAAGGAAAAATTAAATAAAAATACAAAGCTTGAAAATAATGAAAAAAAAAAACAGACAATGCAAGAAAAGCTCTTATATTCTAACTCTTTTAGACTTCCTCATTTTGAAAATGAAATCTTTCTTCTTCTATTTCAGAAACTATTAAACATTCTTTTCACCATTCATCGCCCCCTCCATTACTTTCTCTTTCAGACACACAAACACACTGAAACCTGAACACACATAGTCCATCTTCTGGTCATTTGAAACTGGAGCCTGAGTTTAGCATGAATGGAGCTCGTTGTCTGTCTACTACAGCTGTGTAATCACACTGATGATGGGTTTGCTTTACAAACACACCCACACACACACAACACACACCCATTCTGCACACTTCATATAACATATGGGAATACATGTAAAAAAAAAAAAAAAAAAGCTATATAACACAGGGGGAAATCAATTAAATACATGCAAGCAGATTTTTGGCAAGCCTCCACATTTTGATTGAACATTCAAATGTAAAACTTAGATATATAAAAAAGAAAAATGCACAGGATTATGCAAAGAACTTTAAAACTTAAGAAAGATGTATAGCTTTGCATGTGGTTTAATCCTGGGTGGTCTTGGGGACCTTGGTAATCCTAAATAAAACTAGATTTGACAAGAGTACTTGTATGTATGACTCTCTATGACAATAGACCAAAACAAAAAAATCTCTGTTTTAAAACCTTAACTGTGAAGCTAGGAAAAAATAGCAAATCAAATCTGCATCTGCAATATCTACTAAGATGGAGCTTTAGGATGCGTATATTAATTCACCTCCTTCTGCAGTGTCAGTTAGTATTATAGATTATGGTGTTTACAGAATAGTGGATGTTTTTTTTTATTAAAAACTGCATTATGCCTTCTAAAATAAGACACAGTGCAGCAGCAACCTAACAAATTTTATGGTAATACTGTAGCTCAGTAACAAAATTGTTTTGATATCTTCTATGAACCTTTTGGTTCTAGGCAGTTTTAAGAAAAATAAAACAGCAAATATTTCTGACTTTCCATGAGAGCGTAAATCTCAGTCACATTGGGTTTAAAATAACTTGATTTTGAGGAAGTGATCTCAGCACATGGTAGATCTTAAAGTAGGAGTGCTACACCTATTATTACATGTTATCAGTTTCCGTGCAGTTATTCTGTCTTGTGATGATTCCCATGACTCCAGTGGATTAAAAGGTAGTATTGTGTTGTGCCGGGTAGGAGTGGACATCTCCACAGGCCTCTTATTTCTCCTCTCTTCTTGTACAGTGTCTGATATAGACTGAAAGGTGACCTGATAGTAAAAGTTCATGAACAGGAAGTTAAGAAGTTGTCTTTTTTTTTTTTTTTTTTTTTTTTTGGCTGCAATAATTTTTTAACCAAATTAATTGATTTCTAATGGTTCACCTTTTTCAATTCTTTTATTTTTCAGAGAAACATTTGTGTGTTTTTGTGTTTTTTTTCTACCTTATAACCCAGAGACTTGGAAGAAAGATAAAGAAAACAGGACTTACAGTAATGTCCTTGCCGGCCCAGTTACACTCCTCTCTCCAGTCAACAGGAGCAGGCCAGTAAATCTGAAAGATCAGAGAAAAGGTCAGAAAAAAATCAGCTCTTTAAAATCTTTTTAAATGCACATTCAGGCCTTCTGAGTGAGGTTCTGTACACCTTTTTAAAAACATATGTTATGATGAAAGGTCTTCATTTTGACTGCCCATACTTTTCCTCAGCTCACTTCCTGTCTCTTCCCTCTGTCTAGGTCTGTTATTTCCCATTTCATCTACTCCTCTGATACCTTCCTCCCCTGCAAATGTGACCACAGAGAGTAAACGACATCAGCTATGGTGAACCTGCAATCTGAGGGCATAAATCAAACTCACCCATATGCCAAAGACCAACAAAGTGTTCAAATCCGACACGGCAAACATGTAATTTCATCCAAACAGCTGTGGACACATGTTCCCACTAGACTGTACTTTGCTTGAATAGCACACATAACTATAGCTTTGTTGGTGATACTGTACATTCATATTGTTAAGGTACACCTGTTCTTCAGAGAGTATTTTTAGGACGCTGGAAATATAACTTAAAGAGTAGATTATGGCTGTAATGTGATGTTATGTCTGATGTTTCTGTAACAATCTCTTTTTGTTTATTCAAAGGTTTTTAAATTGTGTTAATTGCACATTATTCTACCTCTTTGTATGTGCTCAGTGGCTGGTCATGAAATACGTTTGATAACACTTCCTTCAATTCCTCTCATCTCTGTGCACTCTGCTTTTGAAAAGGAGACACTAACTTATTCCTAGAAAGCAAACAATATAATGAATATTAGAAATAAATTCACCTTTCTTCCTTTTAATTATTGCCAGAATTATATATAATATTCTGGTTCCTGATGAACATGAGCAGCAGCAATAGAGCACTTATTTGTTAAAATAAAATAAGTTTTACAATATTTTTTATGTATGACAAAAAAAAAAAAAAAAAAAAAAAAACAATGTTTTTTTTTTCCTTTTTGTCTGATTTAGCATTAAAACAACTACTATGAAAGGATTACATCTACAATCTACTACAACCTATGGCGAGGGGAGGATTAAAATATTATTATCAATGGGAAGACATACAGCATTCAAACATATGTGACAATTAATCAGGTTTACCTTGTGCTCTTGTTTGGCAATATTGTCCAATGAGAGTGACAGCAAAAAATTCTTGGCCCCCACAAAAAGCCGGCCCCTCTCTTCATCCAGCAGCATGGCGCTGAAACAGCAGGAACGCTCCAGTTCAAATCGTCGCACCCCGTGGTACTGTTGCAACTCTATAAAGGAATCATTAACAACAGAAATCAAGTTTTAAACTATCCAAAAGCTATTTTTTTGTTGACATATTCATGTTAATACTCCTAAGAGAAGCATCTGATAATAGTTTGAATTGTTAAGGCTACAGCTATAGAAGAAATACAAATAACCATGCCATAAATTAGCCAGAATATATTCTTAAAGTGTTAAAATAGGTTATCACCTAGAAAATCATACTATTGATGCTAAAATAAAATAGTGTATATCTATTCCTTAAATGTTTTTTTCTAAAACATTCAATCCACCCGAGCTTTGTTTATTTAACATAATTTTAAAAATCATACAAGACCAAAGTAGCATACGTTTTACATCAAACACTGAGGTACACTTTACCCGCTGACCTGAGAGGACAGGAGGGTGCATGAGGGTAGAGCAGCAGCTCAGACAAGTCAAACAGGCGGTAAGAGGATGGCAAAACAGAAATCACACAGCAGGAGGGGCATGGGTAAAGAACAAATAAAAGGATTTTTAATCATAACATGTACAGGCAGACAGTGGAGAGAAGGTAAAATAGGGGTAAAATGTCGTCACAAGTTGATTAGGCAACAACACAGGCTCCTAAAGCCGTAGGAGCGTATCGTGCACTTCAAAGTATCCATGTAACAACTAAAAGCTCTTTACTTTAAAATGTTGATGGCTTTCCAAATCCATTCAAAGGTTAAAATATATAGAGAAAGCTGTTGAGTTCAATCTTATCTTGTCATTTTGGTGTGAAAGCACTGTAACAAGTAACCACTGCTTATTTACTGCTCTGATACTGATGCTTGGCCACATGGCTCAGGTCTACAAATTGTTGCATTTAATCATTCAAAACTGTTGAAGTAGAAATCTGTTTTCTCTTTTCTGTCCTTGAAAGAAACCTGGCTAATACTACTGATAAACTGAGCTGTTGCAGACCAAGAGACTACTGATCCAGTCACTTTAAGGGGGGAGAAAGTCTTTTTAAGTCCTGCTGTAAAAAGTTTGATTATTCCCTCTCTCTTAGATCAGGTATTAATAAAATTAGGTGGAAATCTTTTTATGCAAGAATTCATTACAGCCTAATGAATACTAAACACTCATTAGAGCTTAATCAGTTTAATCATAAGAATCAGAAACATTCAAATAGTATTCTTTTAGTTGTGATCAGAAGAAATAGTCTGTTAGTTCTTATATTTGTTGTTAATTAGCCTAACAAGAATCTATAAATCTATAATTAGTAAGTGCATAACTGCTGGTCTCTGAAACAGGGGAGGCTCAGTGATATAAAATACATTTAAACCTACCGATTGCATAAAAAAAATGTTCAAACAGATTAAACACATTGATGAAATCTGCTGTTTTGAAGCAGTCTGAAATAATAAATTTCAGAAACCATGCAAGAGTTCAGTTCATAGACTCTATAAGGTTTTGTGTACTATCCAATCAGGGCCCTACTTCCTTTCTGGTTGCTTCAATGCACAGAGTATAACAGTTCCGACTAAGGATCTGCATAGAGAGTAACTGGCATCGTTCTGTCAGTCTCTATGCGAGCAAAGGGGAGATCACGTCTGAGAGCGGGCTCAACGGCTGATTAATGCGAAACTTAGCGATGAAATTTAGTGCATTTTAACACACATTTAATTCAGTCTAATGACTACATTTATAAAGTTTAACAATTTAATATTAGACCAATTGTTTTTATGATATTTACAAAAGGGATTTAGTCACATAGCATTCAATGTAAAATAACCACATTTTCACAGGAATGTGTATTATTTAATAGATCATACTTTGATTCTTCGAATTGCTCTTGGTGTACACTTGGTTTATATTTATACACCAAAACTATATATAAACTAAGTTTATTTTTAGCTGCATTTTGCTGATTATTTTATAGGAAGGTAAAAAACTATTGCCAAATTTCCTATTAAATTGTAATGAGACTGACTGAGTAATTATTCATACAATTATCAAAATTAAGCAACACCAATTTTACATATTTACAATAAACTGAATGGGGATTCCAGTGCATTCTCATTTACACACCTGCTGAACGTGAAACAAAATGGAACAAACAACATTTTTTAAATTTCTTATGATGCTCTCTGTAATGTGAAGGTCTATAATTGGATTAACCTTTGGGTTTCTCCCCCAAAGGAGTGTCTTTTAAAAACAGTCTAACAAAGCACTGGAGACAGAATAATGTAATATATCCAATGCCCCGTCAGACCCTTTTAGAGAGCACTTATTTTTTTCCAAGATCTTTATAAGTTTTGCTTCACTAGTTTGATTTAGTTTATTTCCATTGTTCATAATATTTCTAACTTTTGAAGGCAAATGTTGGTTTACAATTAGCCTAGTAGTATCAAACTAGCATTACATTCTTATTGGCAAATTTTCTAATTTATAGGTTGGGTGATCAGAATTTTATATTTATTATTTTCTAAAGTTCATAACAAGGCTGTCCTCTAAAGCAAGTGACATCTTAAAGGGACTGACAATATCCTTCAAGAGTAATAATCTTAATGGAAAACATAAGTGCCCCTGCCGTTACAAAACTGGCAAAAACAAAACAAAATAGCTGAGCAGAGCCCAGAAAAATCTAGCTTTGCAAAACTCAACCCATGCCAGTGGAAAAAAGACATGCTGTTGGCCAGAGAAGCTATAAAAATATCCTCCCCCGTTGTCCTAGCTTAAATGAGGAGTTCAACAAAACAAGACCAAAGTCTTATTAATTTACACATGTAAAAGGCTTTATTAGCTTGTTATTGTTCTAGCTCTGACGCCATGTAAAAGCAGCCTGCATGACATCAGGGACTTTATAACCCATTTTTCACCATCTTATGGTTAAAATAACCTTGTGTCTAATAAAGACGTATTGAATTGAAAATGACAGACTTAAATCAAATAAATGGTAAGAAATAGTGTAGACAACCTAATAAATGCAGCTGTCTGGTTTTAGCTACACTTTAAAAGTGACATGCAGTAACACCAACCTTAATAAATAAATTCTGGGATAACAAGAGGTTCTTTGAAGTATTTATAAGAGTACTTTTAAAACTACCTCACAAGTAACAATTAAGGATTGTATTGGGAAATTGTTTTATTTTCAGTTAAAGGATTTAAGTAAATTACTTGATGGTCTCACTATGTCACTTAAGGACAGAGAAAGAATTGTTTTCTTCCATGATATCCAAGTTAACTGAAATAATCAAAACTTTTCTTGAGGCCGGAATTTTGTTTTGGAAACTCAGAGGTCTGTCGCCAACCTTGATCCGAATCCAATATGGCTGTTGCTTGTGTAAAGCATCCTATAAGGATTCAAGGATTTTGACAGTCATACTATCTGTCATTTTTATGCTTAGTAGAGTGAGATTTGGACTTAGCTCCCATTTCAGCAAGCTTAATACTGAAGAAAAAACAGAAACAGATTAAGTTGAATTAAGTATGCATGAATGTATGTGGTGTCGGATGCAGGAGTTTGCCCTGTAACCGGTTCAAGCACAGGCTTTCAATGTTGTTGTGTCCTTGGGTAAGTATTGCCTATTGATGATGGTCAGAGGGCCTGGTGGTGCCTGTGTACGGCAGCCTCACTTCTGTCAGTAAGCCTTAGGGCAGCTGTGGGTTGCTCTCATCAGTGTTTGAGTGTTTGTGTGAAGAATTGAATGACTGAGTGCCCTGACTTGACCAAAGCTCCTTAGACTATATTGCTATATAAGTACAGGCCATGTACCATGTTGTGGAGCAGCATCCACCTGCATCTGGATATGTAGAGATCTGAGGCGAAGGGAAGAATGCTCCTTACAGTCCTTTGTACAGCCTGGAAGCTTGTACAGTAGCATCCATTCAAAATTTCCCCACTTTCCTTGATGGGCCCTTGGCTGGTCCTTGAGGGGTCCCCTACATTTCCTTTTTAAACATCAATCTTTGTACTAAAATATTCTTTCTGTCATGATTTGTGGACATTAAGATCTTCAGAAAAGTGTCAACTCCTGGTCAGACCCTGTAATTCAGTGAAAGGGTGGAGTAAAGAGAATATGCACCCCCAGGAGAAGGAGGGGGCAACTCCAGTGGCTGGGAATTGCAGGAAAGTGAGCTGCCATTCAGCTGGCGATTGACTGTGAAGGGCCATTTTGAATTGCTGCTACTGTAAGTTACTCAGTCTGGTAATTGAGCTCTATCCTTTTGAATTCTTTTCTTTACTAAAATAAAGGATGTGATTATTTTAGTTAAGTATTATTAGTTAAAAAAAATTTAAAAAAAAAGGCATGCTGGAAGTGCTCAAAAACAAAAGAATAAGTATTAGACATAAAGATTTATATTTTTAACATGAGAGGCAGTTAGTTAGTTTGATGTCTTTCTGATATAAATCAAGCCCAACCTGTATGGAGGACCAACTCTACCATATTTGAAAATAAATACAGAAATAAATAAATGCTTAATAAATAAATAAGCATACAATTAATTGCCCCCAAACATATAATAAACAAATAAATATAGGTAGAAATTAAATTATACAGTGAGACATAAATGTATGAATCTCTTTTAATTAGGTTCTTTCATCATTCGCCTCAGTTATAGTTACCTTATCTATTTATTGCCCGTTATAATCTTCAACTTTATTTATTACTTATTTTTTAAGTTTTTATTTGTGTGCATGATATAATATCTTTGTTTTATTTTATTTTTTTTGTATTTTTTTACCCTATATATTTTTACCCAATATCATATTTAGTTTAAAACTGCTAATCTGTAAATGTATCAAAGTATTGGAACGCTTTTGTAAAATTATTTAGATGTATTGTTTAGGTGAAATTAAACCATTTCTAATAATCCTTACTTGCGCAAATTTTTTTTTTGAAACTTTTTTTTTGTATGAAAAGAGAAAAATTATTATGTTAATAATGAATCCAAAATAAAAATAGACCTAATCATTTCACTGCCTAACGTGCATGTCACTCTGAGCTAAAATTGAAGCGGGCACATATTTCAGTGGGATAGGCAGCTTGCAGGGAGCCTCTGGTCCTTGGAGTGACTCTTCAGGCTGTAATTATCATCTTTCAGTGATGGCACAAATCCTTGGTTTTATGTGGCTGTGCTGGGCACAGAGTTGCCTCCTCTAACATTAAAAAGCTTGAAATGGATACACAACTGCACCACTGTGTCTTTAAGCTGTCTGTGTTTGTGTGCGTTTGTGGTATCTGGCTTTTCGCTAATAGTTTATAAAATTGTGTAGTGCTAAAGCAAACCGACGTTTATAGAAAGTTGGTCCTTACCTTTGTATGAAAGTTTCATGCGTGGTGAGGTGGAGGAGGAAGAGGGGGATGAGGACGAGGAAGATGAAGCACGGGTCACAGAGCTGGAGGAAGAGTATGCAGCAGCCATCCCGAGGAGCAACAGAGAACTGCAGGTGACCACCATCATCATCATCATGGTCATCATTTTCAAACCCTTTAAACCAACCTCTTTAAATTTGGTTTTAGTGGTTTGAGTGCTCAATATTTGCACTGAAGGACGATTTATTTATCTGGTTTTCATCCAGTTCTTTTTTACTTAAAAAAAAAAAAACTGTAGTTCTCAGTTTGAAAAGAACCAGTCTTTGCTTCTTGTTTGTAGCTTCCAAACCTCTTCCTTCTTTTCTTGATATATCCGCTGGTGCTCTTATGAAGGACAACTCAGATCACCTCTCACATCCAAGACAGGACAAAAACATTCCGCCTGGACACAAGGACCTAAAAATAGAGACGGGGAGAAAGAAACACGGTTCAGAAACTGCTTTTGCCAAGGATGCCCTTGTGTACACACACACAGATACACAAACGCTGAGGTATATTTAGTCTGAATCTGATTGATGCTCATGCCAGGGTGTGTCAATGCCAACCTCTATTATGGCAATACACTATAATCCTTTCACATTGCACTAAGAAACAGAGGAACAGAGTCCAAATGACACACATACTCTACACATACACACTCACACTGACAAAAGAGATTGAGTTAGCATGTGTGGGACATGGATATGCAGCAAAGAATGCAAAGTTGAGCACAACCTCTCAATGTCGGGGTCACTGCCCTCTCCCACATTTCTTTCTCCACTTATAGAGACTGTATCAAATCATACCATTGCTCTGGTAAGTATCATCCCCCAACGTTCATCCACCTTACAAAACATCTGCAGGAGTATCAAGTTTTTCAAAGTAATATAACACTGTAAGTTGAAGTGAAACTGTGTTATTGATTCTGAAGTACACATTGAAACATGAGAAATAGCAGTTTGAGTGAGTTTGAGGAATTCAGAATCAAAAATACTTAACAAGTGATTTTTTCGCACCTCGAGGACCCCTCTCAGTGAAAAGTATCCATGATTGTCCAAAAGTGGAAAGCACTATAACTGATTATAAAGTAAAAACAATTTTTCTTAGTCTCTTTATTTGAACATTTAATTCGTATCATTTTAAGCTTTCCATCTCAAAATCAAATAAAAAAACAACATGAATATGTTGCCGGAAGTTAGTAAAGAATCAAAATAAATACAAGATAAAATTATACACTAAACCTGGATTTAAAAAAAACTGAAGTTCCTCTGAGTAACTCCCTTATAAATACAATTTAAACTTGATTAATTGGAAACAAAATACAGAACAAAAATCAAAGTCAGACTGACTCAATAAACCTTATAATTTTTCACATCAAGGCACCTAAGCTGCTTTGATGAACACCGATAGCTCAGTGTGAAACAGAACTGATCCCAGACTGTTCTTTAGATCCAGTCTGTTCCCCTGCTTGGTTTTGTTGTGTGTAAAAGCTGAAGGTAAACTCCAAGAAAAAATAACTTTTTGGTTGAGAGAAGCTGGCTTAATTTTTATAATTGGGTTCTCACAAAGCAAAACAGGTCCCAGTGCTATTATATTCTACTGCGTAAGAAATACATTTATTTTAACGTAGCCCTTGCAATGCACTCGGGACCACTAGGAGTATGCGTACCCCCGGTTGGGAATCACTGTTGTAGAGTACCCACTAGATGCATACACATTTCTTTCAGTACTTTGGACTTTGCTGTTGGGTCGTTAGAACAATAAAGCCTTTCACTGGAAACAGTCTCCTTCCTTATATTGAACCTTATAGCAAACAGACACCATCCTTCTCACAGTTTCCCCTTGTTGTTGCCTTTCACTTGTTAGACTCTCTAACATTCAGTATGAGAGTTAAAAAAGTAAACTTCTGAAGCATGCAAAGACTTGGGTCCAGAGTTAAAGAATGAAAACTGAAACACCAATGAGAAATCAAGTAAATTTAATCCTGCACTAATAATGACCTAATGCATTCATATCTCTTAATAATATTGTAATACTTGTGCAATTTGCTATGCATTCCTTTCATACAAACAGTTTGTACCAGTATTGACCTACCACTAAAAACATTTTTTACTCCAAGAAAACCATTTCTACCCCTAACATACATCTTTTATTAGAATTTGTATTTTTTTTTTTTTTTTACCATAATCATAGGCTGAATGTAGTATCTTTATAGTCTACTGTCTTAGTAAGATAAGGTTTTTATTTTATTTTTTCATTTTGCAAATCTAATGTTTCATTTTTATTGTGTTAATGTTATTTCTGGGGTAGATTCCATTGTATTCCTTCTTTTAAGGTTCTTAAATAGAAGGAAGCTATTTTATTAACTTAGGGGTCTGGGATGTAAAGAAAGACATACACGTTGGGAATGAGGTGGGGCAAGGATTCAGGAGCTTTAAAAACAAACAAGAAATGTTTGAAATGAATTCTACATTTGACACACAAAGAGTGTGAAGGGGATAAGACAGCAATGATGTACAGTAGAGGTGTCGGATGGAATACGGGCAGCTGTGTTCCATACAAGGTGAATAATCTTAAGGGAAGACTAAGAGACACCAATAGAATCAACAACAATACTAAAGTCTAAAGCTAAAAAGAATTACTATCTTCTTTTCAAGTTAAGGTGAATTAAGAAAGGTTAAACTATTGATAGACTGTGTCTAGCAATAGTAATAGTCATATTAACGCTAAGTTGATAACACAATTTTTTAGTGGCACTACCCTCAAAAGCTGGGGTTAGGAATTAAAAGTAAATATGAATCCCAAAACAGGCAAAGGCAACTTACACAAGCATGCACACACACAACTCCGTCAAGACTGTTGGCACTCAGTTTATGAATAATAGAGCCATTGAGCCGTTGAGACAGGAGAGCTCTCATTGGCTCATGGCAGCCAGACCACAACACAACGGCGCAGAGCTGAAAGGAGACATAAATTCTCCCATAGCCTGTGGTATACAAAAACAGCAGCATATATAGGAACACATATAGACACTCACAAAGGTTATGAATGGATCTATACATACATCCAAGCGCTGAACAGAATGCAACCTTATCCGTAACAGTTTAAGCAAACACAATAGTCTTAGTTACATTTGAACAGACACATATCAGAGCAGTTATAAAAACATTAAACTGATCAAACATAAAAAAGTGTTTCTTTGTAAAGCAAAAAGAGAGAAACAATTGGTGTTTTTGTGTTTACAAAACTCAAAACATGCTTGCAGCATCTTTAGGGAGATGGACGTCAGCGATCTGGTCAGCTGGAGCTCCGTGACTCAACAACAGGAACACAGTCCAGCACAGTTTGTTTCACAGTTCCTGGGAGTCACATAGGCTTCAGTGAAGTCTACACACTCCTGTCGGCTTGTGTAAACCACACCACTGGTCCCATTGTCCCCTGTGAGTATCCTATAGTTGTGTAAGTGTGCACTACAATGTCTGATGATGCCTTCTGCGTTGTGCCATTATCAATTTAAAGCATTGTTTCCTTAAACTAAATGCAGAGTACAAATCTTACACATTTATACACTAGTTATCAATTTGCTTTCTTCAACAACAAACACTACAGAGTCAACAAACGGGTTTGCAAACACTCTTTTAAGCCTGAGTACTCAAACTCCCTTCATGCTCTATAACGCATCTTGATAACAAAAAAAAAAAGCCACCGGGCTCACCGACACTTGCATTCAATTCAGCTTCAATAGACACTGAGCGGCAGCATGCCAGGAGGGAATGGATTAAAAATAAAGACAGACCGAGATTCAAAGAGGGAAGACAAGGGGCCAAGCTGTCCTGTCAAAAACCAGCCTAAATAAGACAGCCAGACAAAGCAGGCCGCCTCCAGGGCGAGACGCGCCTTTGCAGAGAGAGGTTAGAGTGCAACAATATAGTACCTCATGCAAGAATGAATGAATGAATTTTAGCAACTTAACTTCTAGCCTTTCGCTCCCATAGGTTGAGACAAAGAGGAAATGTTTGTGACCAACGGTCAGATAGCAGAACATGAAATTAATCCAAATACTAGGTTTATGCTGTTGTTGGTAAAGATGCTGGGAATTTTAAACCAGACACTGTGTCAAATAGTAGGACTTAGGTTAGAGAATAGGCTTGAAGGAGCCTGTCCATTATTCCCTGCTCACCCTTTAAACTACAGGTGCTGGTCATAAAATTAGAATATCATGAAAAAGTAGATTGATTTCAGTAATTCCATTTAAAAAGTGAAACTTGTATATTATATTCATACATTACATACAAACTCATATATTTCAGATGTTTATTTTGTTTAATTTTGATGATTACAAATGACAACAAATGAAAATCTCAAATTCATCATATCAGAAAATTAGAATATTGTGAAAAGGTTCAAAATTGATGGCCCCTGGTGCCACACTCTAATCAGCTAATTAACTCAAACCACCTGCAAAAGCCTTTAAATGGTCTTTCAGTCTAGTTCTATAGGCTACACAATCATGGGGAAGACTGCTGACTTGACAGTTGTCCAAAAGACGACCATCAACACCTTGCACAAGGAGGGCAAGACACAAAAGGTCATCGCTAAAGAGGCTGGCTGTTCACAGAGCTCAGTGTCCAAGCACATTAATAGAGAGGCGAAGGGAAGGAAAAGATGTGGTCGAAAAAAGTGTACAAGCAAGAGAGATAACCGCACCCTGGAGAGGATTGTGAAACAAAACCCATTCAAAAATGTGGGGGAGATTCACAAAGAGTGGACTGCAGCTGGAGTGAGTGCTTCAAGAACCACCACACACAGACGTATGAAAGACATGGGTTTCTGCTGTCGCATTCCTTGTGTCAAGCCACTCTTGAACCACAGACAGCGTCAGAAGCGTCTTGCCTGGGCTAAAGAGAAACAGGACTGGACTGCTGCTGAGTGGTCCAAAGTCATGTTCTCTGATGAAAGTAAATTTTGCATTTCCTTTGGAAATCAAGGTCCCAGAGTCTGGAGGAAAAGAAGAGAGGCACTTCATCCACGTTGCTTGAAGTCCAGTGTAAAGTTTCCACAGTCAGTGATGGTTTGGGGTGCCATGTCATCTGCTGGTGTTGGTCCATTGTGTTTTCTGAGGTCCAGGGTCAACGCAGCCACATACCAGGAAGTTTTAGAGCACTTCATGCTTCCTGCAGCTGACCAACTTTTTGGAGATGCAGATTTCATTTTCCAACAGGACTTGGCACCTGCACACAGTGCCAAAGCTACCAGTACCTGGTTGAAGGACCATGGTATCCCTGTTCTTAATTGGCCAGCAAACTCTCCTGACCTTAACCCCATAGAAAATCTATGGGGTATTGTGAAGAAGAAGATGCAATACACCAGACCCAACAATTCAGAAGAGCTAAAAGCCACTATTAGAGCAACCTGGG